ACCCTGTCGAAAAATTCTATTCGACAACACAATAATGAAAATCAGTTTAGAAATTAAGCATGAGTAGGAGAACGATTGTGCTCTATAAGTATGGAAAATATAATATTATACAGGTAGTAGTTATTTCATCGTAATAAATAATAATAAACGGTGGATTTTCATATTTTATCACTATTACACCACTTTCAAAAATCTGTTAAGTATGAAAGTAACGAGTGCCAAAACTGCGTAACAGGCCAAGTTTTCTTTAGGTTTATCATGCGTTTTTGGAGTGGAAGGCTTCAAGCTTGTGGATGGAGTTGTTTCGTCCTGGAAAGGAAGCCTACTCTTTAAAGTTCTTGATTGAGTCAAATTATTCATTGTTGGTGCTTCAGAATTCTTCGTCGGCAGGTTGTCTTTTTCTATTGTGTCCTCAGAATGCATGAGAATTGGGTCTGATGATGTACTGGGACTTTCTTGTGAGTCTGGCTCAGGCTGAGCCAATCGTTCGTGGTTTTTTTGGTCGGATTTAGAGATATGTGATCTCTTTGATCCAAGATCGGTGTACTTTTTGGAACTGTTCAGCCTCATGAGTTCCAATGAAGAAACGTGTTTGGCAAAGTTGCCGCCAAACTCACAATCCACATCGGTCGAGTCAAGGTCTACATCTGAAATAGGCCTACTGTGAATGACTTCTTGGACGTTCTCAGAACTTTCTTTGTTGGCCGAAGTCTCTCGTACGTGCATCAATACCGCGTTCCTTATGATTATTTCTCTTTTCACGTTCGGAGTCGTCACCATGACAACCCGTGGTTGATTTTCAAAATCGTTGGTCGCAGATTCGTTGCAAAGTTTGCTGAATACTTGCTTTTTGCGCGTTGTGTTAAGTTTGCTCTTTGGCAAGAGTGAATTCAAAGGCAAACTTATGGGTGGGAAGGCAGATTCGCATGACACGCTGTAATCTGGTTTTTTGTAGATGGTTCTCACGGGAGAATTGTACCTTGGCTGAAGAAACGTACATTCTTTCCTCTTCTTTCTTACAGGCTCGTCAATGTGTCTCATTGTAGTATCTGAACAACTGTCAAAATCTACGTATCTTCGCTTACGTTTGCTTACCATTTTTGTACATTCCTTTGTGCATTTAGGACTTTTTGGTTGCACCCGTCGTTTACAGAGGTGTTTATTTCTATTTCCCCCTCTTCTTGGCAAATGTATACGTTTGCTGATATTACAGGTTTTTGCCATGATGGATATAGAATGGCAAAGGGGACTCAAATTGTATATACTAAAATTTTGCAGTTATAGTGATAGTGCAAAAGAAGTTGCTATGGATTCATTGTTATTTTTAAGCCCACCAAGAATGCATTCGAGAGAATCTGCTGCATTAATATATATTATTTTACAACCAAGTAATGCTAGAACTGACTGACATTCTATTCCTTACCTATCTGTTGAGAAATTAAAAGATTATATTTACTAGTAAATCAATGAATTGATTACTAAAATGAATTATGGATAGCTTTAGTTTGTTTCATTTTGTATCAGATAGGTGAACTAATACTTTTTTGACAACTAAAGCAAGTCGTTACAGTACCTATCTTAAGTGTTGAATGCTAATAAAAATAATTCAAAATGCTAAATACTAAATAGTTTATTCATCATAGGCCATAGATTAAACATTTAGTTTATGGTTCTATTTAATAATAATATAGAAACGGTTTACTTCATGTCAGTTTCGTTATTTGTTTATGTTTGTTATCCTACCGTTTCCGTTCTAATATTTGTGATTGCCTCTCATGCATACATAAACAATCTCCAACATACGTTTAAATGAATACATATAAAAATAAAAAAATGGATGTACATGTAGCAAATCTACAACATGTTTAAAGCTAACTAAGTTAACCACAACTAATACAGAAGTCCTCTTTTGTATAGGTAAATTCATAATCAAAAACATAAACTTTGAAGTTTTTTTTAACCTTACACATTTTGAAGGAATTAAAGAGCTCTATAACCCTGCAGCTAATCAGTGTTTTTAATTAGTAAAGTTAATCATTGTATGGTTGACGACGGACTTTACACAGTAGGCCTACTAAAATTAGTTTTCGCATGACAAAATCTATCCAACCAAAAAATTAACAGTTGGTCAAATAAGTGTGAAGCGTGAATGATAAAAGTAAACTCGCTAGCTTAACTCATTAACTTGACGACTTGCTTATTTCAAAATCGACTTCAAGCTATTACTGTAATAATGACTTATCAAAACAGCTATTAATAATAGGTGTTTCTCCGTCGTTATCCGTTGTTCTGTTCTGTTCTGTCATTCCCAACGTCATTCCATTCTGTCCAGGAAGGTTGAATAATCGACATCGGAATCAGTATAAACAACCGATCGGTTACCATCCATACATAGATTGAGTTCCATTATCAGCATCTCTCCATCAAAAAATTAAACTAAACTTGTTGTGCATAGTATCAAACATTTGAATCAACGATGCGTGTTCTTAAAATTTTAAACTGTATTTATGGCATTACAGTACCTATAGTTTTCTTCGAAAGATCCGTTTTCATGAAAGATTAAAAATCATATTTTCAACTCGATTTAAAAAATTTAATAAATTGATGGCTTCAAGCATGTTTTCTTAATGATCTTACGCACTAGGTGTAATAGGAACTTATCTCAACTTAGTTATTAATATTCTAATTTATAGTGTTTTTTTTATCAACAATTAATTAAAAGATATGAAATTGTACGTCCTGTTTCACTCTACACACCACAATAGTATTATATGTACGATTGAAGTCAACAATAATTTACAAATTGAGTCGTGTGATTAAACATGGAAAGAAATTACAAATCTTAATGGAATTTTGATATTTAGCCTACGTGAAAGTTGGGCAGTTTAGCTTGTGATTCAAAATTATTCGAACTTGTCGTTTTACTTTTGGATTGTTGTTGATGGATTAGAGTTGGAGTGGAGCGAGTAAGACTAGCCTAATGAAATGAAATGAAATGAAATGAAATGATGAAATGAAATGAAATGAAATGATATTTATTCGTCTATAGACATTATATAGACCGAATATAGCCCATTATATAGCCGAAGCCGACTGACAAGTGATACTGTAGTGAATTTAGTTTCAGTTTCAGTTGCAGTTCAGTAGTCAGAGTCAGAGATTCAGTTCAGTTCAGTTCAGTTCAGTATTCTGATTCAGTGCAGTGCAGTCAAGTAAATTTACCTTGTGCAGGTGCAGGTGGTGGAAGTGCGAACGATTGTTGGAGTATGAAGAAAGGAGAAAGAATTGTGTTTATTGGAGCATAAAGTAGTGATTATGTGTGTTTAGAAGTTCCTTGTAAATGCTGCTAGTTTTGTCTAACCCTGGATTAGTATTCCTCGATATTTCTGCATAGTAAATGGAAATCTTAGATCCAGGTATGCCTAATGATTCTTACCTAGGCCTAGGCCTAGTCTACTCAAAAGGTAACATGTTGTGACAAGGCACAAGTTAGGCCTAGGTTAATTAAACACAAACTGTGCTAACTTTTCACAACTTTGACTGGTTACTATTAAACCACTGCTAGGTACTTAATCTACGGCTACAAAAGGCTAAGTAATGGAACTTAGAATTTCCTTCTGTAGGCTAAGACTAAGCATAACATCTAGGCTAGGTAGTCCTACCTTGCCTAGGCTACTATAAAATGTTACTAGTAATAAAGTCTATGCCTAGCCTAGGCTACAAAAGCGAAATTACTACTGTCACAAGCATGTGGGAGTCATGGCCTTAATTTTTGTTAACATCTCCGGACCTTAAATTTAGTAGTTATGCTGCTGCTAAGACAATAGGCTAAACCCTATCATGGGAAGCTGCCCTATGGTAGGCTAGGTGTTCTTGCTTGGCTGTGTTGCAGACATTTAAGTTATAGGCCTAGGCTAAACTTATTAAGGTACCGGTAACTTAAGTTAGCCCCAGATAGGTACGGTATCGCACGTAAATTTGATGTAGTGCAAGTTATTTTTGCGTCTAACCCCCTACCCCCTCAATCGACAATACCCTCCTTCTGTCAGTGCTCTCAGCAGTAATTTGCCTTGCGATGGATGCCTTGGTTGGGTCCTAGTGGGTGTAGTGGTGCTTCATGCACTTGCTAGTCAGTTTCTTGGAACGCATGTACGTCAAACTTACGAGTCAATACCTTTGTGTACCTATAGTAAAATTGCCAGCTAGTGTATGGTAAGACGGCCGGCAGTGTGTCAAATTTACTTATTGATACCCTTAATGTTACACTGTATGACAACACCTTGCTATGCAATTCCTATACGTAGGCCTAGGTACGGTACGTCAAATTTTTTTACGTAGGTATTGATAACCTTAGCGTCATGCTGTATGAGCCTAACGATACATTTCTAGGGTTAATGGTAGCAATTGCTACGACTAGCTAGGATGGCATTCTGGTTAACATACTTAAGTACCATACTTAGGTGTTAACTTAGGTTAACACTAGGCCTACTTAACCTTAAAGTTGAACTGTCTGTCACACTGTACCATAGAAAACCTAAGCTTTGGAGTAGGCCTAGCCTATAACCTATCTACCTAATGCTACATTTAGGCTACCGGTAAGTTACCTAATTCTATGTCGGTCCTACAGTTGAACATGCAAATTTTAATAAGTTAGAACTATTTAAACTGTCTCACAGACCTACATGTAGGGCCTTTAGGCTTAAGTTGGGCCTACAACCTAAAACAGGCTGCATAACTTTGGTAGTAACTTATTATGTAGCCTACGTAGTTCTTTTTATAGCTGCTTTGCGCCAAAATCAATTAAGGAATTATTGAATTATTGAAGGGATATTTCTTCACTAAGCTTCACCAGGAATTTGTTTTCTCGATTTTGATCCTATTCTTGCTAATTTGCCATGATTTAACCTCACGCAGGCTCAGGTATCTTTAAGTTATCTTTTTTCAAAGTAAAACATAGGTATTTTAGGTTGTGAAACTTTAAGAGTTGTCTTTTGTTCTAGTTGTGATGACTGTAATGGCAGTATCCATCAACGAGATATGTGAGAACACGAAGCTGGCAAGAGAGATGGCGTTGATGGGTAACTACGAGACTTCCTCTGTTTACTACCAAGGTGTCATCCAGAATATCCAGAAACTTCTCATCTCCATTGCTGATAACACGAGGAAAGCCAAGTGGCAACAAGTATGTACATATGGCGTTTAAGTAGACTCAGTCTTATTTAGACAAAATCCTCGAAAGTTAATAAACAATTATATGCTCTAAGTTATAGGTTTCAAAACCACAAAAGTTTCAGCTGTAAATGTGGGGATAAACATTTTGTAACATTTTCTTTCAAGGTCATTTCTCATGAGGGACCTATGTATTTTATTTGTAAAATGTGACGTAAATGCAAAATGTAAATAGCATGTAGGCCTATATGTTTTAAAAGAATATTTTATTTGATAAGTTTGAGATATCAACCTACAAAATTTTTTAATATTTTCAAACTAAGGCTTTGATAGAAACGTAAAAGAAGTCAAGTCAACCTATGTACCGTACTTAAGGTTATGAAAGCTGTTTGCGTGAATTTTTCATTTGCAAACACTAGCAGAATCCTATCTCTTTACCTCCAACATTGTTTAGACAACTTATTGACCTATAGTATTAATTTCTTCATAAGCCAGTCAACAATGTGTCGAAAATCCTTTATAGGGAGGCTTGACACAGCATTAATGATTTGAAATTTGAAAAAGACTGTGTAGACCCTGGCTATAATTTTGGTATTTGTCTAGTTTGTAATGCTTGCCTTGAATACAATACTCGGATGGTTCCTGGTTTGGTCCTGGTAAAAGACAGTTCCTTTTTAGATATTTTGAAACAGAACCTAGCCGTCCTTTTAAGCATTTTCTACTCAACTAGTAAGTAACAAGGCTCACTACTTTCATATTTAGCTTAAAACTGACAATATTCAAAGTGCACCGGCAAGGTGATTAAGCTATGTGTAATACTTATTATTTTCAGATCCAAAAGCAAGTTGTGTCGGAGTATGAGCAGCTGAGTGCAGTCACAAACACCCTGCAGATGTTCAGGCTGGGCACGCAGATCGATAGGCCTATTGGTAAGTTTTGTACTGAGTTTGTTAAGTCAAAGTCATCGTTATTGTCATATAAGGTTTTTTACAATGCTCTGGTAGCCAGACAAAACAGGCGACATTGTCAAACTACCCTATATGAAAATACACTAGCTTATGGTAAAAATGAATTCATAGTAACAAAATAAAAAATTCACATTGATTTGTCTTCGAGAAACTGATTTATACTATAATAATTCTTTTGAAAAAATGGCAAGTTGTTAAAAAATCTTTCACCCATAAGAAGGTGTCCTTTCCACAATATTTTTAATCCATATTGAAAATATGTATGAAATCTTTGGTATACAGTAATTGTGGGGATTTTTTTCACTGTGGAGTTTTTCAAAATTCAATTTCATATACAATAAACATTTTCTAGGCTAACTTATTTTCTATCAACACAATAGACCTAATCCATAGAAAAATTGTATTTGTTTTGACGTTGTTAATTTTGTTTGTATTTAATTACAATAAAGACATTCTTATTCTTATTTAAGAATATACAAATTAGGAACTGTTAGAATCTTAAGTTTTTTAACAAGTCGTTTGCAAGAATGTTTTGTGGGCTTAAAAGTAATTAATTCAAGTACTATTCTTGTTTGAAGTTTAAAAAGTTGATACAAATCAGAGGTAACACCCCAAAGCTCTATTCCATATTGTAAAATTGATCAAAATAAGGCATGATAAATCATTACTCTGAAGTGTCTAAATCAACAACATTTATTAAGGCCATCATTAGAAAACATACAGAATTTAACTTTTTAGTTGGTGTTATGAAAGTGGTTCTTCCAATTCAAAAACTATCTTTATCAATTCCTAAAAATTTAGCTGTGTTGCTAAGATTTATTTTTACATTGTCAAAATAAACAAAGCCTTCAATGTCGTCCCTACAATGTGCAGTTTGAAATTTTACAATTTGCATTCTAATGTGGTTCATTTTCAAACCGTTAATTAGAAACCATTTTGACAGTTAAGACTAAACTTAGTTCATGGATGTTTTTTTATTTAATGGTCGTTGTTGTATCGTCAATATATAAAAACAAAATAGGTTTACCATTCTTCAGTACTCGATAATCCGCTCAATACTTTTCACAATATGGAAATCAAATATTTCATCGGCTCATATTTTCTTTTACTTGTCTCTCAACTTTAAAGGTTTATTAAATTACATTTTATTCCTTCATCAGAACTACATCACTTTTTTATAAGTGTTATAGACCATGTAAGAACAAATAATTAGTTATATCCAAGTTAGAAACAATTATCATTGGTATTGTAATCAATCTTTATCTTTATTATGAGACGAACTAGTTATGCTTTGATTATAAAGCTGTACCAAGGCCACAGTTTATTATGTTAAGAGTGTTGCTTGGTTGTTGTACGGCTTCCCTTGATAGTCATCACCTCTAGTGACTCATGCTGTTGTTGTCACCTTGCTGATAACACTGTGTTTACAACATTGTTTACAAATTTAACCAGGCCTTTCTAATTAATTAGTTGAATAAATTTGTATCATTTTGTTACCCTATACGGTTTAAATTTACTTGGAATGAATTTGTGTGGTTTTTTTGCAGTTTCGTTTTAAAACTTTTTTTATCTTTGCTAATTATTGTTTTAATGGCTATATAGAAAATCAAGTCAAAGGGAAAAACATTGTCTTAAGATAGAATTGACGGGTTAAAATTAAATTTTAAAATCATATTCTAACTGTCAAATAAAAAATAAATTTACGCTTTTCAAAGTACTCAATTTTTCAAAACAAAGTGTATTTGACCAATAAGTAGGCAGGCCTCTTCAACCGCCAAATCACTTTTAAATGACAATGTCTCATGAATCCAAATTCATTCTTCTATTAGTACAGTACTTATTGAGTATCCTATAGATGTACTAATAATATTGGAGATTTAAATCTGAAACACAGAAACCTGTGAACAAATTAAAAAAGTATAATAACTAGCTGTTGCCCACGGGCTTCACCCCGTTTGACATCATAAGTATTAATAAAACTATTGATGTTATAAGTTAACCTGAAATAAACAAAATAGGTACATTATTAAAAGAAACAAATAATCACTCCTGATTTTATTAAGGTAATAAATTGAAAGAATAACAAACAAATAAGTACAGCTAAGGTATTTTTAACATTAGGTATATGAAAAGTTCCCTTCAGAAAGGAATTACGACCTTAAAGGGCAATTTATGACATAATGGATAGTTTTGTGCTAGGTTTCTCGTCATGACGAACATTTTAAGTATATGGTTTATGGGGTGTAGCCTAACTTGTAGTTTTCTCAAAAGTTCATGGGTACTTTTGGCTTTATATAAAGAGGATTTAGCAATTTTAATTTGTTTGTCCCAAGTTAAGAAATGAAATCACTAAGTGTATCTAAAGATTTCTATTCTATTCTATTCCATTCTATCCCATGTCAGTATAATTGATACTTAGTCAGCCTAGTGATTTCAAAATATATTATTTACAAATATTTATAACAATAGTAGTGGGTGTTAAACTTTAATAGACCTGCACTTTTAAATTTAACTTTAGGATGTTTTGACAAAATCTTTGTAACAATAATATTGGGTTCCCCAGCTTAAGTGGACTGGTACCACGTCAGTAGGTTGAGGTTGTATTGATCACATTTGCATGTTGACTCATCTTACATTTACTGTACTTTTCCCATCCTCCTTACCTTTGTTTGTGTCATAGTGGAAATATAACTGTCACGATAAGTTATGACCAATTCAGAGTGACCGTAATTTTGGTGAATCTCATAAAGGAATTCAGTGGAAAATTTGTTCAATTTTCTATTTTAAGTCTGTTATGTTGAAATAAAAATGTTTTCATTTCATATTTAATGCAAAATATGTTTAGTAGTCAATATATTTCAAATTTACTCAAAATGGTAGAACAAGAGCAGTAAACTTAAATTTACACTTGGATTTTGTAGATGTTATTTTTTCTATCTAGGCCTAGGGTTTATTATGTGGCTCGGCTGGTAAAATTTTTCAGAGCATTCTTTTTCATTCTTGTGTAATTAGCTCTTGGATTTTGTAAGTTTACATGCTGCTCAATTTCCATGAAATTGGTATTTTGAAGTTAATTTTGATTATGTTGGTTTTATGTGGTTTGAGGGATTAGTGCGGAAAATTAGTAAAAATTGTTTTTACTAGGCCTGATCCTTCAAATCAAACAATTCCCAATCTCTCAATTCAATTAACATATTGTGTAAATAATTCTTTGCATGCTGCACAAAAATAAAATGCATTGTAGTTATGATTATATGACATTGCAGGAAACATGAACTAGCTACAATTTTAATTCATATTATTTATGGACTGGCATGTTGCAGGCACCATGTTGCGCAATTCCAACACTCAGTTCCTAGAGGAGCCGACCCGAGATGCTGCGTTGTGGTTCGGCACCCCCAAAGACCCTGATATTTGGCCCCCGCCTGACAGGGATCCTGATGTGTGGCCCCCGCCTACACCAGCTGATCACAGGTTTGTGTTGACTTAGTAATACAAAACTTTCTTGTAAAAAATGGTATGGTTAGATTTTTAAGCTTGTGAAATCCTATATGAAAGAGTAGAAACATTATTTGATCTATTTGAATTTGTATTATTTTAAAACTGTGGAATAGGCACCTTAAGGGGAGTGAAAAAATGTGTGGTTGGGAGAGAGGGGGCCGTGTTGCTGTAGGCTTGTTTTGTTTCTGCCTACAAAACTGACGGCACTAAGACTGTCTACTTGACTGCAGAGTACGTCAGATTACCGAGGGACGAATGTATGTATCTTTTCAAGATAACAATGTCAATGGTTTGCATCAAGGTGCCATCACTAATATGAATAAAGTACATTCTTATGCCTTTGAGGTCCACACAGTTCACCAACCTTTTAAAAAAGCTATCTCAGATTCGTCGCAGATGCAGCTGGTTATATTAGCACCTTTCTTCAATTTATTTACACTTTCAGCAAACTTAGATTACCAAACGATCTTGAGCTTATGAATAATAGTTTGATTTCAGGGGCAATTTACCAGTGAAACCGGCCAGAAATCAGCAGAAGAAGACGGACACAAAGTCTGCCAATAGAAACCAGAAGACATCAACTCTCACAAGAAAGAACGATGCCAAAAGTGGAGTGAGACGGAGCGTAGACCCCAGAGCACCGTCTGCGGCAGTGAAGAAAGAAAACAACGGAAACAATGTTACCAACGTAAGATCTTTGATTTAGGACTGCATGTGATTAGGTAGATTTACATTCCTGGAACTCTCAATAGGTTTTATTCTGAAAATCCCTAATAACAGCTGTAACATCTGATAAATTTCCTAGATCAGCTGTGACATCAGTCAGGATTATTTATTTAAAGCCCAATGATCAGGAACAGCTGGGTACAGTTTCAAACAATCATAAAGCTACTGACCTTCTCAGGATCGAAATTACAACCATCTGATCGTTTGACCAGCACCATAACTGCTCAGCCACCCAGCCAGTCTGGCCTTAGTAATAAAATGTAGGCTAGTCTACAGAATTTTATAATTTGCGATTTCTAGAAATTAATTGTAACTTATACAAATTATGAAGCTAATCCCTCTACAGTAGACTCCCGCTCATCCGGATTGGCCTTGTCTGGACTTCCACTAGTTCAGATCGGCAATCGTGATTTTTTTAGTGGCACAGTGCAGTAGAATCCCGATTATCTGAGCTAAACGGGACCGAGACTACCTTGGACAGTCAAAACTCTGATAACACGGCAGTAAAAATTATTACTGTTGGAATTGCATTTGCCCGGCTATCAATACTGTGGACTATATACGGTACTGTATTTGCTTGACTCTCAATAGCCCGGATTTATCGTAAACCGGACCGGACGTCCGCCACATTAGTCCGGATGAGCGAAAGTCTACTGTATTAAAAAAGTCCCTGGCATATAAACTGGTGTTTTTTGTTACAGTGTGGACTATTTTATTGCCAAGGATGTTTCTTTAGTTTTGCAAAACGTAATTCGTTGCTTAAGATAAGACGAAAATAAATATTCTCATTGGACTTTATAATTGATTTAATTTGCCACTTTTAGCTCTTTATTGTTGTAGTTTGAACACTTTTCTTATAGTTTATGATTTATTGTTTTAATTTAATACTTTTCACATCGTATTATTTTGTGATTTTACAGAATGAGAAACAAGACAAGGAGAAAGAAGATAAAGATAACAAAGAGGCTCAGCCAGAGGAGAGGAAGTTTGACCCTTCGGGCTACGACCACGACCTCTGTGAGATGCTGGGTAAGCTGCCATAGATGGGGACACTGTTTTGGCTTTAAGCTTTAAAGTTAAGAAGTCGACATCAGACTAAACCACTTAAATACTGAAATAGTCTAGTTTATGAAATTCCTTACTGTAGACACTACTTTAGCACATTCGGAATTTTGACAGGGTGGGTTACTGAGCTTTGTCTAAAAACATAATACAGTAGACCCCCCTTTAACCGCCCTTAATGGGACTAGAAATAGGTCGGATAGCTCATAAGGTCGGTTAAAACGGGCAATCCCTAAAAATATAACAAAATGAAGGTCTATTCATTTGGAATTTTATATTATTTTGATCATCCAACTACCACTTTTTTTTACGGACGATTTCACTGTGAACAAAAAAGGAAAAGAATTATTAATTTATTACCTAAGGTTTCTTTAGATTAAAAGTAGTCTACAAATTTGTTGAAATTAATTGCCGACAGAGGGTGCTGCAGGCAACACGTTAATTCCTTCCACAATGGGTTAGTACAGCATTAAAAGTAGTTCACTTCTACAAAACTCATGCCTTAATAAAACAGTTTTAAAACCCCTAAAAGGCATGGTAAAATAGCGTTGTTATAGTTGGGCTCTTAGAAAACGACCTGCGCGCTAATGCTAAACCAATGCTGGAGGAGGTCGTTTTCTAAGCGGCCGACCTATAGTAAATAAATTTTACCTCCATTATACTACCTGGCGGAAAAACCCCTTTAACATATTTGATGAATTATCATTGAACGACCATGTGTTTTGATTTCAGAGAGAGACATAGTCCAGAAGAATCCCAACATTAAATGGGACGACATCGCAGACCTTCATGAGGCCAAGAGATTGTTAGAAGAAGCTGTTGTCCTGCCTATGTGGATGCCAGAATTCTTCAAGGTAAGCACCACTGTTTCATACTAGTATTGCAGGAAAATGTTACGAATGACTAACTTCTGCTTGTTACCTTACGCCTACAGGATTGATCTAAAGATGTAGTCAGGAGCAGTAATCTAAAGAAAGTAGGCTTAAACTGTTAAAGGGTATAGGTCATAGACAGTGATAAAAGTCACAAGCCAATGGTGGCCATAGTTAGTCTAAGCGGCCACTCAAAATTTATGTATTTTCAGTTTTCAAAACAGATTTAGAATTTTGTCTCACTTAGCCAACCTAGCTTTTGTATGTGTGTGTAGGTGTGAGTGGGTGTTAGAAAACTGGTAGGAAATGTGTTAATTTCAACTGAGAAGGAAACAGAGTTATGAGAGTCCTATTAAAATTTTACCCAATGAACTTTTAAGGATATCATATATTGTGATGGTTCCAGGGTATCAGGAGGCCATGGAAGGGAGTGCTGATGGTGGGTCCCCCGGGCACAGGCAAGACCATGTTGGCCAAGGCTGTGGCTACAGAGTGTGGGACGACGTTCTTCAATGTCTCCTCTTCCACTCTCACCTCCAAGTACCGTGGGGAGTCCGAGAAACTAGTCCGTCTATTGTTTGAAATGGTAAGTAGGCTACAAGGTTATCCTCTGCTTTGAATTTTTTTTAGAGTCATTTTGTTGTTGTTTTAAATATGTTAAGCAGCGCAATTTAAGCAAAGTGCTATTGTAAAGTAACTTTCTTATGTCTTCTTACAATTAAGGTTAAGTTCCCTTGAGTCAAAGAAGAGATTCTGAGTCATGATCGGTTTTTGTGAAAAGAAAAGGATTCACGATACATTTTAGGATAAATATTAGGTAGACTCAAAGAGATGGATTGTACTGGTTGTAGCGTTTCAATTAAATTTGTTCCTCCAGGCCCGGTTCTACGCGCCATCAACCATCTTCATAGATGAGATAGATTCACTGTGCTCCAGGCGAGGGTCTGAGTCGGAGCACGAAGCCAGTCGCCGAGTAAAGTCAGAGTTGCTGGTGCAAATGGACGGCATCAGCAGCACTGAAGAGGCTGGCAAGGTAATATTGACATTGCTTTTTGTTGAGTCATGCAGCCCCTTAGCCCTATGATCAAACATGTGAGGGTAAAGCCGGTTAACATCCTTCCTAACTTCCAGTAGGTAAAACTATCATAGTCAGGTTTTTTCAATTGACGCAGAATTACAAACTCGTTCACTGGGTGTTGGTTCAGTAGGAGCCTCAGAACCAGTGGCTTTAGTTTAAAACTTGACATGAAGCATTGTTGGACTTTCCCAAAGGTTCTGGAAGTGGGTATGAGAGGGTTTTTTTCTTTTGCCTCTTTACCCAGTTACAAGGGACAATGCAAAACCGTATGCCAACCAACTCACTATTTTTTGTAAATATACTAAATTTTGAATTCATAGCGTTAGTGGGTTCTTGATTTGAGTTCCCTAGAAAAAGTTTTTACTTAGACGTTATCGATCTATTTAATATTTATTTATTTTGTATTTGTTCAGGTGGTGATGGTACTGGCTGCGACCAACTTTCCGTGGGATATTGATGAAGCGTTGCGGCGGAGATTGGAGAAACGAATCTACATACCTTTGCCTAACAGTGAGTATACCAATACAACAAGACAATAACTCACAATTTGACATTTAGACTATGTAACATAACTCAAATTGTATTTTTAGTAGATTCTTCCTTTTCCTTTGTTGATATGTGGATAAAATCTGCTTACCTATATGTAATGTTCCTCAAAACTTTTTTTTTTTGACAATAGATTCCCTTCTTTCCCAACCCCTAAAGACATAACCCCTTTGGGAACTAAAAAAGTATAAACTATCACAACATTTAAGTTATTGGGTATCTTAAAAACCCTCAACCTATGTGTGACTCACCGATTTGTTTTTTTTTTAGGCGAAGGACGAGAAGCACTTCTCAAAATCAACCTGAGAGAAGTGAAGCTTGAGTCTAATGTCAACCTGAAGGACATTGCTGGCAAGCTGAAGGGTTACTCTGGTGCTGATATCACCAATGTCTGCAGGTAACACATTACAATCACTATGCAAACTGTAAATGTATCTCTTACCTACCAATAGTCATAGTCATATAATCTTTATTCAGGAGTGCAACATGTTGCACCAGAATGGCGTTATACAATTAAATTATATTGTTAGAACTAACCATAACTTATATAAAAAGGCTAAACAAAAATACAAAAGCTTATATCTTACAAATTTACAACACATTCAACCAAAAAATTCATCTAGGGAATAAATGGGCTTGGATAACATAAAAGTTTTTAGCTGTTTTTTAAATTTATTTTTGTCTGTTATTTGTAAAATATTATGTGGTAAAAGGTTATAAAATTTAATCCCAGCATATGGAGGTTTATTTTCAAAGAATTTTAAGTTGTGATTTGAAAAACTGATTGTGTGTCTGTGCCTTGTCCCATAGCTGTGGCATGAACCCAAGGTCTCAAATTTTGGTAAATTATTCTTTACAAACAAGATCAAATCAAAGATATATTGGGCAAAAACAGTAAGAATACCAAGTTTTGAAAATTGTTCTTTAACTGAGGTTCTCCAATCTTGAATGTTTAACATGATACGAAGTGCTTCTTTTTGAAATAATAATATTTGTTCCAAATTTTCATGAGAGGTTGCACCATATAAAATTTTGCCAAAGGAGATGTGGAAGTGAATAAAAGCAAAGTAAATTATATTTAATTTTTCCAAAGGACATAATTTAGACATTTTTCTCAGAGCAAAAATCCCTGATGAAATTTTACGGCCAAGATGTTCAATATGAAGGTTCCAATTCAAATTTTTGTCAAGTACAAGTCATAGGAATTTAAAATTTTGCAGTTCTTCTAGACATTTTCCTTCCATCAAAATTCTGTGTTGAGCTGGTTTATTACTTAGATATGTTGAGAAAGATATGCACTTTGTCTTATTTATATTAACTAAAAGGTTTAAATTGTTTAAGAAAGTAGTTACGTGTGGAAATTGGTTATTTGCTATTGACTCTACTTTTTGATGGGTATTACCAGATACAAGTAAGCTAATGTCATCAGCATATAAACAGACTTTTGCATCATCTAATACATCTGGTAAACCCTTTGTATAACATATGAACAACAGTGGTCCCAGGATTGATCCTTGTGGCACTCCATATTTTAAAATTTCCAATGATGAAGTAAAATTTACCTTATTGTTGTTTGTGACATTAGTTATTTCTGCATATTGTTGTCTGTTATTTAAATACGATTTAAACCAATCTAAAGCTCTTCCCTTGATACCCAAACAAAACAGGATATTTACCAGCTTGGAGTGTGACACACTATCAAAAGCCTTGCTGAGGTCCATGAAGACCCCAGTAACATTATTTCTCTTATCCACCGAATCTATTACTGATTCAATGAACTGAACACTAGCACTAATCACAGACTTGCCGGATTGAAATCCATGTTGTTCTTTATCTATCAAGTTGTTGGTTTCCAGAAATTCTGTTAGTTTTATACACATAGCTTTTTCATAGATCTTAGAAAAGGATGGTAGTAAAGATATAGGTCTATAGTTTGAAGGTATAGCGGGGTCTCCCTTTTTAAAGACTGGTTTAATCTTAGAAATCTTTAATTTGTCAGGAAAAATACCTGTAATAAAAGAACAGTTTACAGGATGACATAACGGATATTTTAGAGAGTCAATTGCTGTTTTAATAATAGGCATGGGGATCTCATCATAACCATAAATGTTGTAGTGTGTGATGAAAAATACTGGATTTTTAAAACAAGATCTCGACAAGGCATTCAATCAGTTTTGTTTTAATATTTGAGCGACACTACGTCGCTTCCTTTATTGCTTCTCTAAATGTAAATGGATTTTAGTGTGTAAAATTGATAACTATTTTACTATTTATTTACTTTAGCTGTGCAGTTTTTTTTGTTTGTTTTTTTTTGTTTTTTTTTTTTGCTGCAAACTACTATTCCAACCAAACAACACAAAACAGTGTCCATTTATTAGACACATAATACAAGTACGCTCCAAAATAAGTACACTGTTGTCCTATAAGCAATTTTCCTCTGTAGTAATTTTTTATCCGGCTTTACTTACCTACGTACCATGGGTACCAATGGGTGTACCATGGGTTGTCAATTGCTCACAATCTAGTATTAAACTATTAGTTTTGGAACATTAATTACTTACTTAGGCCACTTGTATCAAAGCTGGTACTTGGCCTCCAATACGTTGTCATTACTCTCGGTCCTCCGAATCTTCCTCTACTAGTATCATCATTTTCATATCCTTCCGGACTTGATCCCAACACCTAGCCTTTGGTCTTCCTATTGGTCTCCTTCCCCTTGGATCTTCCCTTAGTAACTATTTCAACAAATCTTAAGCAATATTGGAGCATTCTAGCTACATTTTCTATGTCTGAATGTCATCAAAAATTGTCACAAAATCATAAAATCAAAATCAAATCAAATCATATTAATTTATTGACACAAATAACGTTACATTGGGTAAAAGAAACGTCATATTGTAAAAGACGTTAAAACTGAAATTGTTGTAACATGTCACATGGCTGGGCAAACAAAGTGATAAAATCTCCTATATTGCGTAACCTTTATATCCATCCTAGGGACATGAACTAATCATTTTATACAACACATCAATTGCAGAGATCACATATATTTGTTTGTTGCAGGGACGCATCCATGATGTCTATGAGACGCAAGATCGCCGGGCTGCGGCCAGACCAAATAAAACAGTTGGCCAAGGAGGAGCTTGACCTGCCAGTGTCCATGCAGGATTTCTCTGAGGCCATCTCAAAATGTAACAAGAGTGTGAGCAAAGAGGACCTCGACAAGTATGAGAAGTGGATGAGCGAGTTTGGCTCCACGTGATAGTGGAATGGAGAGTCGCCGGGCGACTCATCATGAGGTAATTAACCGATCTAGGTGGTGTCGAAGAGTTTTTTATTTATTCGGTGACCTGACATGTGTTGGTCTTTGGTAGATGACCTTGTCATTGAACTGGCGAAAATATTCGCAGAACATTTTGATGCGGACTACAATTTAAAATTAGTCTTTTATCTTGATAAGGAAGAAGTCAGGGTTAGCAATGAATTTTGTCTATTTTTATTGGTACGTTAAGTCGTTAATGAAAAGCTTTAGATGATATTTTCTAACACAGTAAGTTCAATTATTTCATTAAATAACTGATATCAAGCATTTTAGTTGCTGGAAATTTTTGTGTTGTATTTAAGACCTTCAATTAGAATATTTTAATACAGTAAGTTCAACTATTTAATTAATTAGCTGCAATGTTTTGTTTGCTGTGTGTTTTTGTGTAGTATTAAGACCTTCAATAATGATTAATCTAAGTATTTGACCAGTTTGTTGTGTTCCAGTTAAGTGGCCTGTCGGAACACTGAGGTTCTGTCTACTCGGCGCAGCGCGACCGACAAAACTTAGTGGTTCAACGACATTTTACTATTTTTTTCATCACCGCCTTAAAATGTAGATCGTAACAAGTAATTAATCTGCAATCGTATCACAATCTCTTTAATTATCTAAGTTTTTTTTCTGATTTGAAGATAAACGGAAGACAATACAATGTAATATTTCTTAACACGCTCAGATTACTGATAATAAACACAACGGTTGTGTAACGGCCTCGTACTTAAGCAGTGTTAAAGTCAATATTTATTGTTGGGAGTTAGATTACATAAGTTGTTGCTATTTGGATTGTTTTAAATCTCTGATGCAATTAATATGTGAGTTTTCACAGTTTATGAAATAAACTTAATTATTTAAGAGTTTTTTGTTTTATCCTTACCATGAAGATCCTTGTTTCCTAAAGTAACCGACGTAAGCATAATCATTAACATATTTACTACCACCAGGTAAAATAGGGCCTATCATTCTAAGGAGTTTGATGGCTGGTTGGCTAATTTGTTTTCCTTTCTTGCAGTTTTACTTTATGAATCCTGAAGCTCTATACTGTATACGATTATTTGGAGAACTGTTTGTTATAGCCTTACCTTTTGAATCCTAAAGATCTTTATCTCTTAAAATAACCAACTTTCCTCATAACATAAATTTAATTGTTTACATGTTTTGTTATAGCTTAACCTTATGAATCCTGAAGCTCCTTTCCTAAACTTTCCTCAATGACCAAGTGGAATAGCATTGTAGACAAGACCATTGCAGGGATGGGCAAGATATGAATCAGAAGATGGTTAATGAAAATGAAATATGCCTTGTGATGGAAATCGAATGGTAGATAAAAATATTTAATATAATAGTGTTGCTTTTTCATTGCTTGGGCTTATGTTTTGTTTGGATTTTTCATGTTTTACAAAAAAAGCTGACGGTCCCCGTATAGCAGGGGCTCTCAACTTTTTTGCTTTACACCTCCCATCCCCACCCTCCATATTATAGCTCCTATATCATTGAGCTAAAGTGATTGTATCACTTTGTTCATAATTAATAGCGGCATTCTAATCCCTCTGTGTAGTTAATTATTTATTCTCTATTTTCAGTAAGATAATGTGGTTTCATTTAAAGTTTTTATCATGACTACAAATCCCAAATAAATTTTGTAGGTACCTTTTTGCTTTAGCGTTTTTGTATTATTATTTTTCTAAGGGCGGAGTGTGCTCCAAAGAGGTTGAAAACCGCTGGTCTAGAGGGTATTTTCAATTTCTGTCTGTGTCATATTTGGCCATAACTAATGGAAAAAAGGAGAACGTTTGTTGATAAAACTTGAACAATTCTTTAGAATATCATAGATTTTGGTGTGAACAGCATCATGGAAAGGTAAACACATGGAAAATACCAAAGACTTCATCAGCTCAAATTTTCTCGGCCGATATAGACCCCTTAGCTTGACATCGTCACTCTATGTTGAAAGAAATGTGTTCCGAAAAAGAAAGCTTACTGCTCGAGGCGACACAAAGATTTTCAATGTTATTGACCAAATACCTTTGGCTATCAAATGAGATTCTAATTTAACTGTCTAAAATGGCCTGGCATAAGGTGCACAGACGAAACACGTGCATTAGACGAAGCACAGTCTGAGTCTATGCTATGAAGTGGATATTGAAAATTGCAATAATTCATAGCATGAATCGTACAATAACTAAAAACACTATTTGGTGAGTTAGTAGGACCACTGGGCCCAATGCAGCCATGTCAAGGGTCCACATTCTGGCACTGTACATGCTACTACTTTTTATCAGTACAGTTCATCCTTATGTTGTGCTATACCAGCTCACCCCTTGCTTTACTGGATACCTTTCAAGGCCCCTGTGGCCCATGTGGAAGAGAAATGCGCAGGAAATAAATTTATGTCCCATCTACCAAAAACACTTCTAACTGAAAATGATACAAAACAGTTTAAAAATTGTCTGAAACAGTATTTGATTAAACTTGCCCCTTATTTTTGGGAGAACAAATAAAATAAATGTTTTAATTTTAGTTTCAAGTAATAAATTTTATTTTGTATGATTTAACTCTATTCCTGTAAAATTGTACTTATATGAATAAAGGATATTTTGATTTAATGCAATGTTAAAGAGGATAAACATCTTAAATACCCCCTCTGCAGCATACCTGCAGACTAAGCGAATTTAAACTTGTCTGATTACATATTTCCTAAAATATTTTCATATATAATTAAGACGTATTTATTCCCAATTTAAATAACATTAGATTAAACGAGTGCTTAGGTTTGCTGCCACAGGGAACATAAAACATGTTTTTTACCATACGTCAATAGTATAGGATGAAATAAATAAATTTGCCAAATTATATCAACATACCCATAAACAAGTAAACTACAACAGTTTTCATTTTCTCCATAAGAATAACATGGAATTTTAAATTACACTTTTTTTTTATTTTCTCCGTGACCGTTTGACATACAAACAGTGCTTCAATATACTAAATTATTTGTTTTTTTAAGCTCTACAAAATGGTTTGGAAAGAAATTGCAAAAATTCCCCATAAACCCCCGTTTCCATGGTCTGATATGCTGGTTCGCGAACTCGTTAATAAACGTAGGTTACCAAATTTCATCAAAATCGGATTATTTTTGCTTGAGTTATCGCGATAATGGACATATATATATATGAATCGGAACAAATGGTGTTTTTGGCCTCTGGGGACCTCAAAACAAAAAAGTAAATCGGTCTCGGGTCTAGGTCTTACCATGAGACCTACGGTAATAGCTTATTATTCATATGGGAAATTGGCTAAAAATTAAACAAAAATAAGCGTAATTAAAAAACATATTGACGCAACTAAAGAGTAATTAGGGGAGGAGTAATTTTCACAAAGGAAATATTTTCTTCAATTTATGAACTCGTTTCAAGTCAGCCTCTGGCTATTGTTGACTCAGATTATATTAATCTTACATAATTTATTATCAACACATGAAAGTAGAACATTGACAAATAGGTCAGTGATAAAACACTAAATTGATGAAAGGAATCCTGTTTTGCGTGTTCATCAAACAGCATAAATGATTAAACAAAGGCTTGACCGTGGACTATATTTACAATTACTGTTACATTGTCAAGAGATTTTTAGTTTTATTCAAGCCTGCCTAAATATTTAACTAAAATCACTTTTTTGGGTATTTCCCATAAAATAGGCTATTACTGGAGGTCTCATAGTGAAACCAACACCTGGGACCTATTTACTTTTCGTTTTGATAGGGACAGTGGATAAAAACACCTTAATTTAAATTCATATATCTTTGTATTTTCTAAAAATGAATGACAGGTACCCTTAAGAGCTAGTATTTATCATTTTGAATAATTGGTACAACTTTGCAATTTGATACTCATGCAAAGATTAGTTCTATCATAACAGTTAGTTTCCTTATGGTGGCTGTTAGGATGTACAACCGATTGCCCCAGTACTTGAAAAACTTTGGAGCCCCAGATTTTATAAATCAACTGAGAGAGTGGCTGCTGGCAAGACCCATGTACTCCCTGAACATTTTTTTTTTTTTTTTAAATATGCCTCTAACTGCCACCAAAACTGCAAAATGTATATATGCTAATTATAATAGCTTTTTACTCTGTCTATCCAGCAAGAACTGGTCATGGATGTCGAGGGAGGTAATTCAGGTACAGTATCACGATTTTAGGTGCAAAATGGGGCACACCGTATTTTCCTATAGTTCGGCCGTTTAGAAAACGACCTGCGCGCTAATGCTAAACCAATGCTGGTGCAGGTCGCTTTCTAAGCGGCCGAACTATAGTAATCGTGGGCACACCCCTAACAGCTTGCGGTCTGTACAAAATAAAAAATCGTGATTTTCCACTAGGTATTTACATTGACTATAGTCAATGGTGTTTATGACCGAGTTTTTTAAACATGTTGGATAGATAATTTTAAATGCTACATTATATACAAGTATGCCTACAATTTTTATAAAATCAACTATTTTTTAGTAATTAATATTAAACAAATACACATATAGTGATCCAACATCCTACAAAGACCTTCAATTCAGGCAAAAATCATTGTTAAATAAATAAGTAGGCCTAATTTAAGTTTAAAAAATAGAAATAGCCGCCATTTGAAACAAAAAAAAATATATAAATTTAAAATTAAAACTTCACCAATATTTCTGAATTTTTAATTTCATGAGGCCTTTTGCCAGCCATGCTGTCGAATATTTAGTAGGGCTAACCATGCATTGTATACATGAAACGAAGTGTAATGTTAATAAACGTAAAACAATAATTTACTATGAAGTGAGAATTTACAAAACAAAGAACGTTTAGATTGACAATTAAATTGAGTAAATTGATTGTTATTGTTTGATAGCTGGATGATGGCAATGGGAAGGTAGTTCAACCGTTCATATAATACTTGTGAGAGGTAGAATTTTAACTAAATTAATTGACGAATTCCATCAACACGGCTAGCCTACAGCACAAAAATATACTACTATAACCTACTATAAACATAAACATACTACTGTAACACACTACTGTTATTATAGTAGTATGTTTTCTGTGCCTACTGATAGTGATAGGCCAGTGCAGTTTTTCAGTCTCGCACTCGACTAATATTCAACAAAAGGATTGAGAAGTGAGAAATGAAGCAGCAACGTTGACACAGATAAATTACACTTGTTGCTCGCTGACAATTCTTGGTCTAAATTGGGCGGGAATTGCTCCAACAGCGAAGCAAACGCCTTCTCATGCAAGCGTATTGTGGAAGATTGAATCCTTGCTTTGGCTCGAGTTTTGCTTTTTAAAAGAATAAACTTAACATTGTAAATTGGGAACTGTATTTTGATAATCGTTGAATAGTAGTTTAAAGAAAATTTTAAATAGGTACTAAAAGTCTACATTCAGATATGGAATAGTTTGTCCACGTGAAGTGGTTTCCGCATAAATAAAAAAAATACAGAAAAGAAAAAAGAGCCAAACCACTAGAAATTCAACTATTCATTCAATTTGGTATGCTATTATACACAAAGGCTCACTATAATATGCTATAAAGCAATACTATTGATACATCTCGTTTTAAAATATTAGAAATTAAATGCAATAAACGAATCATAAAACCGTAAAGAGTCTAAAAGTTTAAACATCTGAATCTGGGGTTGGAGAAAGTTTCGTTTTTTCAGAAAGATCGTGCAAGGAAATGTCCCTTAAGCCGGGTTTTCCTAGGCGCGCGGAGTCGGCGAGTGGAGAGAGGAACGCGGAGAGCGGACTCCACTTGTCTTAGGCAATTTAATGTTACTGTTTTCCTAGAAGCGGAGCGGAATGCCATGTTAATTT